GGTCGCGGCCGTGTGCGGGCTGCAGCGAGTTCGTGGGCGGATCCTGGTGTGCGAGGCGTGACCCTTGGTGAGTCCCGAAGGGAGGGCGCCAGCCCGCCCGCCCGCCGGTTCGCGCGTGCGCTATGACAGGGATGGGCTGGGGTCCGCGCGAGGCCGGGTCACGAGCCCCAAGCTGCGCTGCTGGCTCTTCCAGGTTCCCCGCGCCCCGCTGGCTTCCTTCGCGAGCGGCGGCGGCGAGGTGGGCGAGAAGCCCAGCCGGGGGCGAGCGAGGGCGCCATATGGTGATGGGGGAGGCACCTGCTGGTGCACGCAGTGCAGTGACAGCTTGTCTGCCAGCCTTGAGGACCAGGGACCCCTCGTCCTCCCGGAAGAGGAGCCGCGGTGGGGCGGGGGCCAGCCTGAAGGCCCTGCCAAGCGGACGCTTTGCGGTCCCTCCTCAAACCCGTTCTCCCGGAACACAGGGTGGGGTTGGCTGCGTTCTCTTTGGAAATGCACGGGGCAGAGAAACAGAAAACACCGAAGGCCGTTGAGAAATACTTTTGCTTGGGCTTCGGAGAGCGACTTTAGACAACTGGGGAAGCCTGGGGAGCTTGGAAGGGCAGCCTAGATTTGGATTTAACAGCACGCTGGAGTGTGGGCAAATAAAAACAGCAGGATATGGGGTGGTGGTGGTTTTTGTGATCATTGAGTGGCTAGGATAATTCCCTTGGATTTGATGACTTTCATTCCTGTCTCTGTGGACCATGGCAGGGGTGAGTCAGCTTTGGCCAAGAAGGAGCCAGGCCCGGCCCCTTTGACAAATAAAATGGCAGGTACCCACTTGGAAGCATAACTGGGGCTTTAAACTATGCTATGTTTATAGAAATCTCCTTACCTTGGGGCAGGGAAAGGGTTAAAGTGGACTTAAAGGGAAAAGGACAGGCATCTCAGTGGCAGGCACCAGCAAAATCAACATCCAGGCCCTGCTGTAGGGGGCTCTTGTCTAGTTGGCAGTCACCACCCCTCTCCAGCTCACACCTGGCCATACCAGCTGCTTGCACTGGGCAAAGTCCAGTCTGCAGCCCGTGCAGCTTCCTCGCTACCACTGGCCCTGAGTTTTCACCCGTTACCTGACTTCTGTACCTCAAGGCAGAAGATCAGAACCTTCCACTATAAAGGCTCCATTTTGCCTTTTTTAATTTTTTTTTTTGAGGCAGGTTCTTATGTAGCACAGTCTGGCATTAAACCTCCAATGTAGCACAGGATGACCTTGAACTGCAGATCCTCCTGTCTCTATCTCCCTAGTGGTGGAATTACAGGTGTGCACATCACACTTGGTTTACTGGGTGCTGGGGTTGAAACCCAAGGTGAGTACATCCCCAGCCCTGTTTCACCTTTGAGTAAAGGTTAAACAGCAACCACAGCCCTCCTACTGCATCTTCCATAAAAGGTGAGTGTTTTTCTGTTTTCTGCACAGCTGTGTCCCTTCAGAGACCAGTGTCTGGTGCAGAGAAGGACTGGGCAGAGGTTTGTGGATGAATAACAAGAGCCATTAGGAAGGGCATTTAAGGGTGCATACCTGTACGTAATCCGAGTTCCAGAGGCAGGGATCAGAGGTTTGAGGTCATTATCCACCACATGGAGAGTTTGAGGCCAGCCTGAGCCACATGAGACCTTTTCTGAAAGAATCTAAAAAGAAGAAGAAGAAGAAGAGAGGACTGGTGAGATGGCTCACCTGTTAAGAGCAGGCATTGCTGTTTCAGAGGACCAGACTTAGATTCCTAAAGCACAGGTCAGACAGCTCATGAGCACCTGGAACTCCAGCCCCAAAGTGGAGGTACATACCTGTCCCCGCCCCCATAAACTTGGCTGTAGAGGCAGGAGGACTGAGAGTTAGAGGCAAGACTAGGCTCCAGAGTGAGACCTTGTTTCCTCAAGGAAAGGAAGAAAGAAACTAGGGCTAGGCGGTGGCTTTGCAGGTAAAGGCACTTGCTGCCCAGCCTGATGACCTGAGTTGGATCCCAGATCCACATGTTGGGAAAACTGACTCCTGAACTCCTCAGCTGTTGGTATCTCCCCTCTTCCAGGATTCCACTCTTTCCCGTCAGGATTCCAGGCCTCCCCTCCAAGCAGATCCCACCGAGATGGCATCCGCTGGTGAGCCCCCTGCCAGCCCAAGGGATGCAGCCGACCAGAACTTTGACTACATGTTCAAACTGCTCTTGATTGGGAATAGCAGCGTGGGCAAGACCTCCTTCCTGTTCCGCTATGCCGATGATTCCTTCACCCCTGCCTTCGTGAGCACTGTGGGCATCGACTTCAAGGTCAAGACAGTCTACCGACATGACAAGAGGATCAAGCTGCAGATTTGGGTGGGTTGAGTAGCCATGTGGGGAACTGAGGGGGGCAGTCAATAGAGTCAGATCCAGAGTAGAGTTCCCAGGAGACAGAGAGCAGCCCAGGGCAGGGAGATGTCTTTCATCTCTGAGGTAGACTCATCGGGATGTGGGAACATGCCCTGCCCTGCGTGGCCTGTGGAGGGACAAGGTGGACAGAAGGTGCCTGCTGGAAGTACCAGTTGTGAGGAAGAAGTTGGGGACCATCTCGGGGACGCCCATAGAGGCTGCCAGGTTCAGAGCTATACCCTGTCCCTAGTCCAGCTGTTGATATCATCATGGTAATGAGGAGACCAGGTAGCAGATCAAGATGGTGGCCTAAGGCCCGGATGGCTCTTCTCTGTATCTATTACATTGGTTCTTGGAAACAAGGTTAGAGAAGGTCATAAATGGGAGACAGCTCTGCACACTGGAGCCCATGCAGGGCAGAGCTGAGTCAGTTAACAGAGTTCTCAAGATGCAACAACAGCTCTGGTGATGCTTGTCTGTAATGTCTCTCATTAGGATGGGCAGGGAGGGCAGACTGGTATTCCTTCAGTCAGATTGAGTATGAGGGCAGGACCATACTTCCCCATCAGATTGGGCCTGTGGAGGCAACACTACTCTTTTCCCATCAGACTGGACCACAAGGGCAGACCTGTGCCCCTTTCAGAGCCTTGCAGAGTCAGGTAGGGAGCAGATGGCCCCTAACTGACTCACTGCCGTTTGCCTAGGACACAGCAGGCCAGGAGCGCTACCGGACCATAACCACAGCCTACTACCGTGGAGCCATGGGCTTCCTGCTCATGTATGACATCGCCAACCAGGAGTCCTTCACCGCTGTGCAGGACTGGTGAGTGCTGGCCAACCACAGACATGCCACCGGCCTTTGTTCTCCCGTCCCCCACCTTTAACCTCCCTTTCAATGTCCACAATCCCACAGGGCTACACAGATCAAGACCTACTCTTGGGACAATGCCCAGGTCATCCTTGTGGGGAACAAGTGTGACCTGGAAGATGAACGGCTTGTACCTGCTGAGGATGGCCAGAGGCTTGCTGATGATCTTGGTTAGTGCCCAACCTGAGCCACGAGTCACATCTCCTTGCTCCTAACGCTCGTCTTCACCCTTGAGTCCCAGTTCCACAGTGGTTAACTGAGGATCTGGTAGGGAAGAAAGGAAAAACCCAGGTGTTGGGGCTGGGGAGATGGCTTGGTGGGTGAGTAAGAATGCTTGCTGTTCAAATATGAGGCTCTGAGCTAGGGTCCCCAGAACCCACATAAAAGGCCAGATATGGCCACATACACACACCTTAACGCCTATAACCTCAGCACTGCGGGGGGAGGGGGGTGGGAGTGGCTGAGACAAGGATTACTGAGGCTTGCTGGCTGCCCAGCTAGCTTTAGGTTCAGTGAGAGACTCTGTCTCAAGGGAATAAGTTGGGTGTGAGAAAGCAGGGCCGCTGATGTCCTCTTCTGCCTCCAGGGGCCCTCATAGATACCTGCACACAGATATGCACATACACAACACATACTTCCCAAGATAATCCTATTAGAACCAAAGAAAAGACACTTAGAAGGCAGAGGTTCAAGACTGGCCTGGGCTGCATAGTGAGTTCTAGATCTGGCAAGGCTATATAGTGAGAGTCTATCTCAAAAACAAAACCAAAAAAAAAAAAAAAACAAAAAAAACCCAAAAGCACAAAACAATAAAAGAGCCCAAATAAGCAAAAGAAACAAAGAATTCATATGAGTTGGGGGAGTTGACATGTTGGTAATAAAACACCAAATTTGCCCAAGAAGACAGAAGAGCACAGGAATCTCACCAGGCTCCAAATTTTGTCATGTCTTCCACCATCTTCACTCAGCCTGTGGCTTCTAAGCATTTACTCAGGGCTCGGCCTGAAGCTTAGCAATAGAGCTCCTGCCTAGAATCCCCAGAGAGGGGCCAAGGGCATGCATGGCTCAGTGGTAGAGCCCCTGTCTTGCCCTGCTTTCCAATCCTGTACCAAAAAATAGCCCACTGTCTTCCTCACATGTGCTTTGAATCAGGGACTGAGAGCTGCAGGAAGAACCATGCCCTCCTTGGGCTGGTCCATCGAGTAGCAGAGAGGAGTGTGAAGTGCAAAGTGTGCTCTTATCTAATCAGGATTACTTAATTATAGAAACCAGATGGACCTCCTCGTGCTAAGCATCTTTCTTCCCTCCAGGTTCCAGCTTCCCGTTATGCCCTTCCTGGGCTGGGGAGCTGAGAGATGGCCTCACTTTGCAGCCCATGCTGGCTTTGAGCTTTCAGCAGTTCTCCAGCCTCAGCCTTCTGAGTCCTAGGATTACAAGTGTGTGCCATTATTCCTAGCTAACACACACACACACACACACACACACACACACACACACACACCCAAAGACAAAACCCTCATACTAAGAAAGCTAATTTCAGCCAGGTGGTGGTGGCGCAGGCCTTTAATCCCAGCATTTAGGAGGCAGAGGCAGGTGGATCTCAGTGAGTTCAAGGCCAGCTTGGTCTACAGAGCAAGGTGCAGGACAGCCAGGGCTACACAGAGACAAACAAAAAAACCTTTCAACTTTTTATGTCCCTTTAGAAATCACATGTGTGCCACAGTGCACATGTGAAGGTCAGAGGACGACTTCAGGAGTAGCTTTTTGCCTTCTACTGTTTTTTCCAGAGATTGAACTCAGGCTAGTCACAGTCAAGCTTGCATGGCGAGTGCTTGTACAGGCTGAGCTATCTCACTGATGTGCTGCCTCTCTCTTTAAAACAGTGCTGGGGCTCAAACCCACAGCCTTGTGCAGGTTACACTTTACATTTTTAAAATCTCTTTTGATAGAGGGTCTAACTTTGTAGCTCTGAAGTCAACGGTCTTCCTGCTTGGTCTCTGTAGTGCGGGATCATGGGTTTGCCCTGGTCCTTAATTTGATTACATTTGTGTGTGCATGTGGTGGCCGGCGTACATCAGGTGTCATCCTTAGGGACAGGGTCTCCCACTGGGCTAGGCTAGCTGGCCAGCAAGCTCCAGTGCCTCCACCTCCTCAGCACTGGGATTAAAAGCATGCTCTACCACACCTGGCTTAAAAAAAATGGTTGCTGGGAATCTGAACCCAGGCCCTCATTCTTTTCCATCTGGGCCATCTCAGTAGCCCCAGTACACTGTTTTTGTTTTTGTTTTTGTTTTTTAAGATTTTATTTATTTACTATGTATACAACATTCTGCTTCCATGTATATCTGCACACCAGAAGAGGACACCAGATCTCATAACAGATGGTTGAGAGCCACCATGTGGTTGCTGGGAATTGAACTCAGGACCTCTGGAAGAGCAGTCGGCACTCTTAACCTCTGAGCCATCTCTCCAGCTCCAGTACACTGTTTTAAATTACACTTCTTATTTTTATATATTTTTTTTATTGGGGGCAGGTTTAGAGACAGGGTTTCTCTGTGTAGTCCTGGCTCTCCTGGAACTTGGTTTGTAGGCCACTCTGGCCTTGAATCTGCCTGCCTCTGCCTCCCAAGTTCTAGGATTAAAGGTGTGAGCCACCACTGCCTGGCTTCTCTTTTTAAGTGTGTGTGGGTGCTTTGCCTACATGTGTTAGTGAACCATGTACTGCAGTACCTGTAGAGGTCAGAAGAGAGCACCAGATCCCTCAGCTCTAGAGTTACAGATGGTTGTGAGCTGTTGTGTGGGTTCTGGGAATTGAACCCAGGTCCTCTGGAGGAACAACCAGTGCTCGTAATGGCTGACCTGTCTCTCTAGCCCCATCATTTATTTAGTGTGTATGTGTCACACACACACACACACACACACACACACACACACACACACACACACCTGTGGTGGGCTATCCTTCCCACCTTGGATGTTCTAGGGATTGAACTCAAATCATCAAACTTGGCAACAAGTACCTTTACCACTGAACGTATGTCTGTCTCCTGAAGAGTCTTAGCTAGGCATGGTGTTACAGCCTGTGGTCACTGCACTCTGGCAACTGAGGCAGGAAGATTGCTGAGTCAGAGCTCTGTGAACTATTTCAACATTGCTACATAGTGAAATTTGTCTCAGGACTTCAAAAGGGTTAAATGAGACTGGGAAGGACCCTAGAACTGACCTTAGACCAGGCATGGCAGTGCACACTTACCATCCCAAGGGGCTTGTGGGCTAGCCAGTCAAGCCTGCTGGGTGAATTTTGAAGTCAATGAAAGACCCTGTCTCAGAAAAAAAATGGTGATGGCAGCTGAGGAGCAACACACCTAAACACTTATGTGCACACACACACACACACCCAAACACATATATGCACACACACACAAACACATATGTGCACACACACACACAAACACACGTGCACAGACACACACACAAACACATATATGCACACACACACACCCAAACACATATGTGCGCACACACCCAAACACATATGTGCACACACACACCCAAACACATATGTGCACACACACACACCCAAACACATATCTGCACACACACACCCAAACACATGTGCACACACACACACACCCAAACACATATGTGCAAGTGCACACACACACACACACTCAAACTCATATATGTACACACACACAAACACATATGTGCACACTCCCCACACACACACACACATTGGGTCAGGCGGGAATGAGCTCAGAATACAGGTTTGAACAATTCCACCTTCTAAGCCCAGCTCCTTGGGATTCACGTGACTGTTGCAACTGTCCCACCTTCTGTCCGTCCAGGTTTTGAGTTCTTTGAGGCCAGCGCCAAGGAGAATATCAATGTGAAGCAAGTGTTTGAGCGCCTGGTGGACACCATCTGTGAGAAGATGACTGAGTCCCTGGAACCCAGCTCTAGCGTGGGCAGCAACGGAAAGGGCCCAGCTCTTGGAGATACCCCACCCCCCCAGCCTAGCAGCTGCGGCTGTTAAGGGTGGCCCTTGACCTGCCCACACCTGCCCACACCTGCCCACTCCTGCCTTTTGAAGGACTGCAGCCAAGGTGTGAGCCACAGGGGCTGCCTCCAAGCTCAGGGCCTCCCTCCCTCCTGCCCACTTTCCCTTCTGCACAACTGCATCTCTAATTCTCTCCATGTTGATAGACCCAGGCAGTCCTGGCTACAGCCCACACCCCAGGCTCTGCTCAGCATTGTCTAAGGGTGTGCAACACCCATGCAGGTGCTTACTGCTTCCCAAGGCTTTTTGATGGGGGTGGCTATACGCAGCATCACCTTCCATGAGTGATGGAAGGGACACTCCACGCCTTCTACCTTAGAACCATTTCCCAGGGGGATGCCCTACTGTCCATATTGTTGGCTAAATGTGTCCCCTGGTGTGGGTTGCTGGACAACTTAGCCCTGGCAGCCTCTTCAGCTCAGGTCCACCAGCTTGGCCTTGAACCTGCCTGTGAACTGACTGTAGCCAAGGATACAGGCAGGTCTGTAGTTTCTCCGTTCTGCTTCCCTGACATCTACCTGAAAGCCTGTTTTCTGGTTATACAAAGGACAGAGTCAGCCATCCATGGCATTGGTGACTCTCCAAAGTGCCTTCCAAGCTTCTCCTGAATCCATGTCACTTAATGTGGGTTAATCTATCCCATCTCATCCAGAACTAAATTTTGGAACAATCCAGGCTCTATCACATGGGGGCTGAGAAGTGCCCCACCTTTAGCACTCAGAGCCAGGGGTTGAGGCTGCCTGCCCAGGTCCCCGTCTGCCCGCCTGGCTGTGTTTTAAGCAAGAGCTTTACACATCTTACATCCTGTGTAGAGAAGGAAGTGGAGAAACAAGCCCACAAAGGGTGTGACTTGCTGGTCAGTTTCTGATGACAGGAGTTGGGCTCTCCATCTGAGGACTCTTGTAGAGACCCAGTGTCAGTGTCATCCCAATCATCAGTGGCCCAGGGACACTTTGGGGTTGTGGGGAAGATCAGGGAGAGGGCATCAGTGGCTACACAATGCTTTTGTTTGTACCTCATGGGAGCAGCAGGCACTTCAGTGAAATGGAGATGGGCTGTGTGTTGTCATTGATGTCTCTACAAACTTGGGACTTAACCCCTAGGATCCCAGTTCTCTCCAGCTAGGAGGTCCTTCCTACCCACTGACCAAACTCCCCTACACACCATTGGATCTCACGGCTCAGGCAACACTGCCCGAAGCCCAGATGGTCCGTGTTGCACATCCCTGATTTTACATCAGGGGTGGAATCTAGTCCTTCAGTCCCAAATGATTTCTGCAGCCTTATCAAGCCCAGTTTCTTACCGGGGCATGCATGAGCTATGTGCCTGGCTTAGGCTCCAGCGTACTTCTAGCCCTGCTATCCTTAAGGCATCTGGATGAAGCTGTCTTTGTACAAATTGGATGAAAGGGAATGGATAAATCATTTTAGCAAAGTGAGAGCATCTGAACACTTGGAGGGAAGAGTCAAGTTTTTTTTTTTTTATGTTGCTTTATCATTAAACAGTCAAGACAGCAGAGTCAACAACCTGCTGGGTGTGGTGGCATACACTTTTAATCCCAGCACTGGGAGGCATAAGCAGGCCATTTCTGAGTTCTAGGCCAGCCTGTTCTAGAGAGCAAGTTCCAGGACAGCCAGGGTTACAAAGAGAAACCCTGTCTCGAAAAGCCAAAGAGAGAGACAGACCCTGTCTGAAGCAATTAAAAGCAATAAAAAATAATAATTCAGCAGTGTCTGGAACTGGGGCTCGGTTGCTAGTGTTTGCCTAATGTGTCGCACAAGGTCCTGGGTTGAAGGCCCAGCACCACACAAACTAAGCATGTGGTCCAGGGATGCCATCCTAGTGGAGTCAGGAGGGTCAGATTACTATCTAGGATGCTAAGGCTATCTTGGAACTATATGAGACTGTCTGAGAGAAGAAAAACACCTTTAATCCTATCAGATTCTGTCACACGGTCCATTGTTCCTAAGCTACTGCCCAGCATGGTGGCAGGCCAGTTTGCCCTTAGCTGTGGTTATTCCTGACATTCCCTGTAACAGAATCACCTTTGACTGGATCTTGGGCTTGGACTCTGCTTCCCAGTGATGTAAGAGGCTCCCTCGGTTCTATTCAAGTAGCTGCAGAGGAAGCTGCCCTGTAGTTTTCACACAACTGGAGATGAGGCTGGTGGGATGGCTTGTCTGGTGAGGTCAATTGCTGCCAACCGAGCCTGATGACCTAAGTTAGATCCTGGGATCCATGAGGTAGGAGAATTGATCCCTTCAAGTCATCCTCCTACCTCACACAGGGTGTGCACACTCATGTAGTCAATGTAAAAGAAAAAAAATTTAACCTGAATAATGTGAAAACTTTGTTTCTTCAACCAATTAAGGAAGACTTGAACTTTTTTGAACTTTTTGATTCCTCTAGTAGGTTTTACCAAAGATGGGTGATTGGGTCACTAGTGAACGGAGGCTGCCATCTGTGCAGATGGTCAAGGGGGATGGAGGCCTATTGAGTTTATAGACAAAAACTAAGATGAAAACCTGGGAATGAAGGCTTCTGTGCCACAGGAGAAGGCCAAGAGCAACCAGCCTCAGGTGCCTTCTCCACCACTGGCAATGTGTTCTTTCAGAGAGAAGTGGCCATGGCTGCTATGGTTTGATGGTCTATGATTTTTTTTTAGGTTTGGTTTTTGGTTTTCTTTTTTGAGGCGGGAGTGGGGGGTGGGGGGTGGAGGTGTCTCATGCTGTAGCCTGGCTGGCCTGGAATTCTGTCTAGACCAGGCTGGCCTTGAACTCCCAGAGATTTACCTGCCTCTGCCTCGCTAGTGCTGGAATTAGAGACGTGTACCGCTATGCTGAGCTGACTCTCCTGCCTGGAGGAATTATAGGCTGTACCACAAAACCATTTGATGAAGTACTGGGGAGGCAGCCCAGGACTTCCTGTATGCTAGGCAAGTGCTTTGCCAACTGGACCTTGACTGTTTTCAAGGAGTGATTCTGCTCCTGGCTCCCCTCTAGCAATTCTGAAACAATATTGAATCAACTCTGATCTGGCTGTTCATGTCCCCAAAATCTGATGAGCAGTCTTGGAAAAATGCATCCTTTTTCCAGTGTGATGAAATGAAGCCATTTGGAGGTCCCATTCTTATATTACTTAAGTCCATTACAAAGTCAATGCTTTTTGGTTTGTTTGTTTTTTTGTTTTGTTTTTGGTGCACAAAGTCCCATCAGGCCTGGGGCTGTTTGTGGCCAGGCCACCGCCACTACCCTGGCTCTAGGTCTCACTTTGTGGGCTGGCTAAATAGTTCAGTGGGTATTTGCCTCCGAGTCTGGTGACCCAAGTTTGATTCCTGGAACCCACGTAGTGGAAGTCAGATTCATCCAAGTTGTCCTCTTGTCTCAGGGTTTCTATTACTGAAATGAAACACCAAATGACCAAAAGCAAGGTAAGAAGGGAAGGGTTTATTTGGCTTACACTTTCACATGGCAGGAACTCAAGCAGGGCAGGAACTCAGGGCAGGAGCTGATGCAGAGGCCACAGAAGGGTGCTGCTTTGGCTTCCCATGGCTTGCTCAGCCTGCTTTCTTATAGAACACAGGACCACCAGCCCAGGGTTGGAAACCACCCACGATGAGCTGGGCCCTCCCCTATCAATCACTAATTAAGAAAATGCCCTACAGCCAGATCTTATGGAGGTGTTTTTTCGATTGTGGTTCCCTCCTTTTAGATGATTCTAGTTTGTGTCAAGTTGACATAAAATGAGTTCCACATGTATGTTGTGGTACATTTACCTACCCCACTCCTAAAGATAAAACATGTATAAAACTCCCTTTTTAAAGAATTGTTTGTTTTATTTTGTTTATGATTGTTTTGCTTATATGTATATATGTGCACCACTTGCCTGTTTGGGGCCTGTAGAGGCCAGAAGAGGTCATTGGATGCTCTGGAACTAGATTATGGGTGGTGGTAGGCTGACACTTGGGTGCTGGGAATCGAACCCAGGTCCTCAGCAAGAGCCACAAGAGCAGGACTGGAGAGATGACTTGACAGTTTAAAGCACTTGTTATTCTTGCAGAGGATCCAACTTCATTTCCTAGCACCTACATGATGACCACAACATCCATAACTCCAGTTCCAAGGGATCTGCTGTGAGAGCCAAAGTTACATTTTAAGTTTTAATTACTGCACCTAAGCGATCCATGAAACAAAAATGCCTCTAACCTGTAAGCCCCTTGCCCAAGAGCAAATATTTCCTAAAAAGGCTGGGAGCTATTGTTTACGGGAGATAACAAGCCACATGATTTCACTCCCCTAAACAAGTTTCTTAGACCCATCTGTACCGGATGTGCTTGATCACATGGGGGCAGGAGGTACGTGGGCAGGAAATATGTTGGGATACATGCTTTCTCCTGGTTAGACCTGATGGGAAATATGGTGGGTTTGTGGGGGTTGCCTTTTTAAGCCTCTGCAATGGGTGACTCACAGCCATTTTCTGGAAGACATGGACCTGGCCGCAGCCCATCTACTTGGTCAGTATTTAATTAAAGCTTGCTTCAAATTTGGCTTTAAATTGTGGTAGTGGTCTAGTCTCCACCGGTGGGATCAACACGGCCACCTTCTTCTGACCTCCACAGGCAGAAATACTATAAAACTTGTGTTTAGGACAAGGAATTCAAATCTTTTTACCTGCCCCCACCTTCGAAGACTTTTCTGTAAATGTTTTAATTTCACCCTACAACCTAGTAAAATCTCTGTTCACAAAGATCCACTGCCTTATTGCAGGAATTTGATGGTTTTTCCTGTGTGTGCACCAATTCTTTTCAGACTAGCCAATCAAATTCAACCAGCCAATCAAATTCAGACTAGTAAATCAAATTCAGACTAGCCAATCAAATTCAAACTAGCCCATCAAATTAAGACCCCAGCTATGGGGGTGAGGGAAAGATAGCCACCATCTGAGTTGGATAAACTAAGTGTGGGGATTGGACAGATGTCTCAATCAGGTGTTGGTAGCGCACACTTTTAGTCCCAGCACTCAGAAAGCAGAGGCAGGTGGATCTCTGTGAGTTCAAGGTCAGCCAGGGCTATACAGAGAAGCCCTGTCTTTAAATGTAAGTAAATAGAAATACCAAGTGCACTCCCTGTCTCTGTGTGGCTCTTCTAAGCTCACCCTCTTGATCAACACTAAAGTTTGCTTTGTCCAGACAATTCAGTAGGAATGGTGGTCTTTTTGTAGCCCCAAATAGTTCTAACAATTTGGGGGCTTTTCAGGGATCCTAGTTTGCCCTCGGGAGTGCCTCAGACCGACTCCCAGGGGAAACACACCACACCAGCGCTCTCTCTCTCTCTGTCTCTGTCTCTCTCTCTCTCTCTCTCTGTCTCTCTCTGTCTCTCCTCTCTCTTCTCTCTCTCTCCCTGCTTCTCTCTCATTTTGGTAGTTCTTTGACGGGATGTCATTCTATATGCTGTGAATATATGTTTTCTATTAGTTGATGAATAAAGCTGTTTCAGCCGCCTGGCAGTGGTGGCATACACCTTTAATCCCAGCACTCGGGAGGCAGGGCAAGTGGATCTCGGTGAATTCCAGACCAGCCTGGTCTACAGAGTGAGTTCCAGAACAGGCTCCAAAGTTACACAGAAAAACCCTGTCTCAAAAAAAAAAAAAAAAAAAAAAAAAAAAAAAGCTGTTTTAGCCGATGGATAGGCAGGATTTAGCCCGGCAGGAAATCAAAACAATCAAAACAGGGATAGAGAAAGGTAGCTACCAAGGAAGCAAGAGACCCAGGCATCACCGGTAAACCAAGACCATGTGGAGATACACAGATGAATAGAAATGGGTTAATAATTGAGAGAGAGATAGCCAAGAAGAAGCCTGAGCCATTGGCCAAACAATTTATAATTAATATAAGCCTCTGTGTGTTTATTTGGGACTAAATGGCTGCGGGACTTGGTGGGACAGAAACTTCTGACTATGGTTCTTGGGTGCTGGGCCTCTGTCACTCTCCAGCAATGGGGCTTGGAAGTCTCTGGACGACTCAGGGAGGGCCAGTCCAAGGAAATTCCCACAATATAGGAACACGCTGCACATAGACCCAAGGTGAGAGACCCTGTGGAGAAGAATAAAATATTCCTTTGGGGCTCGGTGGTCCTGGGAGTGAGGACATGTCTTCAACATGAAACCGACCGAGTTCAAGAGACCTCCATAAAGGGGTGCTGAGCCCAGGATGAGAAAGTAACCTAGATTAGAAGAGCCCTTTAAAAAGGGGGGAAACCAGAACATTCCCCTGAGACATGGAGGGAGCCAGCCCCTCTAATTGGCCCAGAGGCTCCCTCACCCTCACCTCCCTGCCCCAGCTAAGGAGAGACAGAATATGATACCTCCAAACTTAAGTTCAACTCCCTATCTTCCTTCTCTCTTCCCCCTTCTTTACTCAGACACCTCAAGAACCTGGGAGATCTTGGGTCAGAACAGAAGGGTGGAAGCTGTAGGGTGAAAATGGCCAAGGAAAAAAAACCTGCCCCCGACTTGACCTAGGACCAGGGATTGAAATCCCACCAATCCCTGAGCTTGTCCCAGGGTCAGGCTATAAAACCCACCAATCTGAAGTTGCCCTGGAAAGCTCCATGCCCCCCCCAAGAAACCATATATTAGCTCTGTACCCTGTTCAGTTTGCTGGTGTTTCTCACCCTAGAGGCAGCCACTCTCCTGGATTTTTCATTCCCAATAACTCTCTTCAGTGAGGTTTGTTGCAGTGTGACACTTTCACCAGAGCTGAGCCCAACTTTTGCCAGAGGGGAGCAGAACTGTAATACTTTAGCTGGGGAAAATTTCCCCATGTGGGAGCAAAACTGTAACAACTTTGCTGGGAGAGTCCCTGTCAGAGCAGAGTTGTTACACTTGCATTGGTGAACTCTTTCCCTGTCATGGGGCTGTAAGCTTACAGATACTATGTGGTACTCTGCACTGCTAAGACACCTTTCCATCTGAGCTGCAATGCTTACAGGTGCAGTCTCCTGGTGTGGTTAAGTCTGACTGACTTAGAAGATGCATCCACAGCTGCTTTTCAAATGGGTAAAAAGGCCTCACAAGGCTACTTGCTGGTTAGTCTTATGCCAACTTGACACAAGCTAGTCATCAGACAGGAAGGAACCTCAATTGAGAAAATGCCTCCACAAGATCAGGCTGTTGGCATTTTCTTAATTAGTGATTGAGGGGGGAGGACCCAGCCCATGGTGGGTGGTTCAATCTCTGGGTTGGTAGTCCTGAGTTCTATAAGAAAGCAGGATGAGAGGGCTGGAGAAATGGCTCAGAGTTTAAGAGCACTGTCTGCTCTTGCAGAGGTCCTGAGTTCA